TGTTAATTATTGGAACTGTCCTACCAGTTTGATTTGAAACTGTCTCATTGCTATTTCTCAATAAAATTAAGGAAAATATAAATAAATAAAAACACTTAACAGTGGTGAGAGGGCATAGTCCAGTGAACAGATGCAAAGGAGAAACTCCAGTATTGCCTGAGACCTTTAGGGGCTAGGGGTGTGCAATCCTGCTCCATGTTAATATTCTGATTGCCTTTAGGGCAAGAAAGGCACATGGCATAAACCATAGCTGTAGCTGAGTAGCTACTAACCACATCTTACATTCACACCTAGAAGTTCTAGAAATGGATAAAACTATGACTTTGCAATTCTGTTGACTTTACAGCTTTAGGACAGGGAATTTAGATTTTGTTTTTACATTTGATTTTCATTACTGTATAATAATTATAATCTTGAAAAATATTGCTAAGAGCGTCATTACAAGTTGTCCTCATCTGGCAGAATTAAACAGCCCTCCCGAGTGTGCTAGGCTTGAGTTGCTCACTCCTGTGTCTAAATGCCAGGCTACTCCCAACACCCTCGTCCTGTGAGCAGAAGGCCAGTGAGGCTGCTGAGAGGCCAGGGCCGTGGCACTGAGGCACTGAGGCCACAGGTGTGCAACGCTGAACAGTTGTGTCCTCTCTCTTGCCAGGCGGGTTCCTGGTGGGAAGCACAGCTCGGCAGCAGTGCGTGCACTTAGCATGTGCGAGGTGCTGTTCAGCCCACACCACTAGAAACACAAGGCAAGAAAGACATGAATAATAATGCATTGTGGGACTTTTGTTAATACTAAATTGAATGTCAAAACAAGTGCACCTAGCACAGGCCCTGCTCTTGGAATAAATTGCCACCTGACCACCAGGGAAAAAAAAATGAGTGTCTGAGGTAAATATATACCTCTCAGACGAAATACAAATGGCAAATGTATGAAAAAATGTTGAATTACAGCAATTAACCACTAAGAAGAATATATGCAGTGTATTATTTGTTGAAACTGTCCTTCCGATTTGATTTGAAACTGTCTCATTGCTATCTGTTTGTCAATAAAACTTTGAAAAAAAAAAAATGTGCGACCACACACCCGGTTGTGGCTGTGCTGGGCACACCGGGGAATTCAAGGGGGGAGGGTGGCAGAAAAATTGTTTTCCTCCTCCTTTGTATTCAAAGAACTGTGTAATTTAAATACAGACCTCCTCCTTCTCAAAAAAAAGAAAAGAAAAGATTCAGGGAAGTAAACTTGTGTAGGGAGGGTAAGGCTTGTAAAAGTGATTATACTATAATATATATACATACTAATTCTCAAAAAAAAAAAAGAATGTATACAATGTGATAATTATTGAAATTGTCCTACCAAAAAAAAAAAGGATTTGCATATGTTGAAACATCCTTGCATCTTTGGGATGAAATCTACTTGGTCATGATGTATGATCCTTTTGATGTTGTGTTACATTTTATTTGTCAATATCTTATTGGGGAATTTTGCACCTATGTTCATTAAAGAGACTTTCTATAGTTTTCTTTCTTAGTTGGGTTTTTGTTTGGTTTTGGAATCAGAATGATGAGCCAAAACTCTTTCACTTAAGAGTTTGAGGAGCATTGGTGATACGTTGTCCTTTGAAATTTTGTAAAATTCAGCAGTGAATCTATCAGTACCCAGGCTATTTTTAGATGGTAGTTTTAAATTACTGCTTCATTTTCATTTCTTGTTATTGTATTATTCAAATTTTTTTGTCTTAACTTATTTTTTGGTAATTCATGTGTATCTAGGAATCTGTCCATTTCTTCAGGATTTTCCAACTTGTTGGAAAATTTTTCATAGTAGTTACAATCTCCTGGATTTCAACAGTGTCCATTGTGATTTAGTTTTTTACATTTGCAATGTTATTAATGTGAGTCTTTTCTGCTTTCTCTTATTAAATTTGGCTAGTAGTTTATTCTTTCAAAGAAACAGCTCTTTGATTATTGTATTATTCTTTCAAGACTCAACTTCATTTATTTCTGTTCTGATCTTTATGATTTTCCTCTTTAATTTGTTTGGGTTTGGATTATTATGTTTCATGTATGTTGAGGTTTCTCACTAGGTGATTTATTTGAGCTCACTGTTTTTCTAACATAAGCATTGATTGCAATAAGCTTTCTTTTTAGGACTGCTTCATTATCTCTCAAAGGTCCTGATATGTTTTACTGGTATTGTCATGTGCTTCCAAAAACTTAAATTTCTTGTTATTTATTCTGTGACCCATTGGGTGTTCAAGAGTGTATTGTTATGTTTCCAGATGTTTATACTTCTGTGACTGATTTGTAGTTTCACTGCACTTTGGTGTGATAGCTAACATGGGATGATTTCACTTCTTTTATATTTATCACAGTGTAATGAAACTAGAGATCAATGGCAAGACAAACCCCAGTAATTTTTTAAAAAATTACTCATATGTTTTATTACTGCCTTAAGTTTGTGCATCATTTACAATGAGACTTTTTTTTTTTTTTTTTTTAAAGCATTCTTGTATATAAACAGGCCAAGGAACATTTAAGTAGTTCATTCCTAAAACATTAATGGCAACATAATTCAAGTGTGTATAAGAAAGAGAGATAAATTTTAAGCCTTTTTCTTTGGAATAAATGTATTTGG